CTGAATCTGACAAGAGGAGCACTAAGGAGAGGGTCCCACTTCTCAACCCCGACGCAGGCAGTCTTTGGTGCTAGATTAAAGAGTGCTCCAATCCAGGATATGTGCAGTCAAAATGTCAAATAAATGTATTAAATCACTGGAATCAGACAGTATCAGAATTTCTAAGCAGTCAGTCAATCATTATTGTCCCTGGTATAACCTCTAGCTACTGAATATCAACAGGCCAGAAAGTGAAAGGTTTGCACAGCTTCCAGCCATAAGAAAAGCCCAAGAGAAGACTTGGGCATTAGGAACCTCAACGTCAGACAAGGCTGAGAAGCCAGCCCAGGGCCACACACATAATGGAGAGGAAAAGTATATAAACCAGAGAAAGCCAGCCAGTGCTGTAACAGTCAATCCCACCCTCACCAGGCCACTGACAGCTTCACACTGGAGTCACAGGATATGAGAGGCCAGGAAGGAGAGGGAAAGCTTGTTGGACCCAGAAAGGGACTCTGGCTGAGAGAGAAAACAGAGAAGGGGTAAACGGGCACTTCTTTGAAAGGAAAAGTATAAAGCTGCCATTTCAACCTTTCTTGCTCTTGTTTACCCTAAAAGGATTTTGAAAATCTATGTATTCCCCTTTGTATTATGTAAGCTTAACATCTAAAGTTTTTCATTATAATTTTAAATAGTTGCAAAGACAGTTTCTGGTGTATTGTAAATAATGGCGTAAACTATTAAGTCACTCATATAAATGTATCCAGTGGACTGTAAATACCATCACAATTAGACACCTACCTTCATCTAGTTAAAAATACAAATGTCTATTTAAGTCAGAAATTTCTTCTTCAATTGGTAGCTCCATTACTCTCCTCCATCTAGAATTTTACCCCCCACATTTTACCCTAATGTAACACATTTTTAGGCTTGAAAGTCTCTTATTGACCATACTTATAATTCCCTGTAACGTATCAAATTTCCTGTGACCTCATAAGCTCTAAGTGTTCAAAAATATTTTATTCTGGATTGCATGATTATGACTGCTATTAGCACATATTTCGAAACAACAGAATATAAATACTGATCATTATTAAATATGAGCAAAATTTCACTAGAAATGCATCCTGATAGAGAGAGTAAGAAGGTTCATGTTTCCAGGGATGAATCTTGCTTACTGTTAAGACAGTTTCAGCACCAATTCCATTCCTGTTTTTCATTTTTATAGATATTAAGCCCTGAGACACCTCGTTCTCATAAATAAATAGATGGCAATGGAAGTTCTGTAACAGCAACATCTCTGAATTCCTTGAACTCCCGAGTTATACACCAAAGTCATGCAATGATCTGTTATCAAAATTATTTTTAATGATCAACTGACAACTCAATTGGTTCCTCCAATTTTGTTAAAAGTAGACTCAGAAAACTTGTAACTTGTAAAAGTATTATTCCTTAGTCTTTAGACTCATATTCTCAACATTTGTATTTAGAATTATCCCCATGGCACCTCAGAGAGCAGGGCAACACACTATGGTCCTGACTAGAATGGGTGAGGGTTTGCTTTCCTTTTGCAGAATGGAAAAGGTGATAAGAGACCCCTTATGCTACTAGGCGTGTTCTCAGACAGCTCAACTTTAGAAATATAACAGAAGTTGAGGACCTAAAAATTGATTCCCTTAAAATTATCCTTGCCTGGGTACTCCATGGAGTTTTCCTACCCCCAGAGCTACATGAGTTCAGACCACTGTTGTGAAGGCTAACCACATGGCCTGGAAGAGGTGAAGAGAGTAACTGTCCCTCTGTTGACAGCATCTCATCGAGACAGCACTGACAAAGAGGATGGCCCCCCTCTAAGTAAACAATCCAACCTGGCAAGGGTTCAAAGTACCATGCTTAGAAGGAATAATCCTAACTGAGAACACGGTGAAAGGCTCGGAGCCTTCAGTTAAGACCCAAGAAGAGGACACCCTGAGCTCCTTCACTGCATCTCCCCATAGGCTGGCACCAAACAGTTGACTGGCCCAGTGGGAGACACCGGACCCACAAGGGGCCAATGATATTCTCTCTCCTGGAATTTGGAGCTAGACAACCATTTCCTACCATGTGCAACAAGAAACAGAGATAAAGCTGGTCCACAGAAACAGAGTTAAACAGCTGCACAGCCAAGAGAATAACAGAAAGGACAACCACCTTGGTCCCAAAGGTAGGCCTTGCGGCCCAGCTCCACTCAGATTCTAGAAAATCCCCCTTTCTGCATTGGCTGGTTTTAATGAATTTCTGAGACTTGCAATCAGAAGACGTTTGGCTCAGACGAGTCAGTAGAGTGCTTCTGAGGAATTCGGCCTGATGGACCAATAACATTTACAGCATTATCAAAAAGTACCTGGAAACAAGGAGGCCAAGTACATGATTAGATAGTTCACAAAAAAGGAAATATATTTTACCTTTAAAGCTAAAAAGATTTTTAAATTTTTAAATATAAATTTTAAATTAAAGAAAGATATTCAACATCACTAATTACAGTGGAAAGACAATTTAAACCAAAGACATTTTATCATTACCAGATTGGCAAAGATGAAAAAGTTTGACAATGCATTTGGCTGACAAAGGTGAGGAGGAACAGGCACCCTCATCATGACTAAATAGGATTGTACATCCACACCATCTCTCACAGTGAGGAATAGCTATCAAAGTTAGAGATACACATTCTCTCTGCCTTAAAAGTCTCACTTCTAGGGCTTCCCTGGTGGCGCAGTGGCTGAGAGTCCGCCTGCCGATGCAGGGGACACGGGTTCGTGCCCCGGCCCGGGAGGATCCCACATGCCGCAGAGCGGCTGGGCCCGTGAGCCATGGCCGCTGGGCCTGCGCGTCCGAAGCCTGTGCTCCGCGATGGGAGAGGCCACATCAGTGAGAGGCCCGTGTACCGCAAAAAAAAAAAAAAAAAGTCTCACTTCTAGAAATTATTCTACAAATACATTCAGCAATATGTAAAATGACATGTAAAGAAGATATGTTTAAGGCAGTGTTTGTAAAAGCAAAAAATTTAAGACTAAATAGCCATCAAAAGGAGACTAGTTAGGGGCTTCCCTGGTGGTGCAGTGGTTAAGAATCCGCCTGCCAATGCAGGGGGCACAGGTTCGAGCCCTGGTCCGGGAAGAACCCACATGCCGTGGAGCAACTAAGGCTGTGGGCTACAACTACTGAGCCTGCGCTCTAGAGCCCGCGAGCCACAACTACTGAGCCCACGTGCCACAACCACTGAAGCCCGCTCACCTAGAGCCCATGCTCCACAACAAGAGAAACCACAGCAATGAGAAGCCAGTGCACCACAACGAAGAGTAGCCCTCCCTCGCCGCAACTAGAGAAAGCCTGCGCGCAGCAACGAAGACCCAACGCAGCCAAAACTTTATAAAAAAAAAAAAATTAAATAAATAAATTTAAAAAAATTTTTTTTAAAAAGGAGACTAGTTAAACTATGGGGTATTCATAAAATGGAATACAATGCAGAAAAATGAGATAGAGAACGATCTCCAAACTATGAGTAGTAGGAATGTACAGTATCAGTTAGGCAAAAATAAAACAGACAGAGAAGGAAAATGCATCTATATATATAAACAGAACATACCTGAAAGTGAACAGAAGAAACTGGGGTAGAGAAAATACAAGGTAAACGTGGACAGCATTCTGTGTGTCAGAAAGTAAGAAACTGCTCAAAGACTGATAGGGGCATGTCAGTGGGACACAGAAGCCAAATTTGGGCCAAATTTGAGAATCAACATGAACAATGGCATGGGTGGTTATACCCTGAATGAGAAAATTACACTAAAACCTCTTAAAAGGGGAGTACTCCTCTTCACTGAGATACATCAACAATAATAATTAGAAAATCACTTTTTTTACAACCACCTTAGTAATAAATTATTCCATCAGGAATCACCAAGGAACACTAACACTGGGTACAAAACCACTGAGGACATGATATTCCCAGTCTCAAATATCACCCTACAGATTACTTATTAATTACAAAGGGGAAAGGGTATCTTTACAAGGCAGACAACATCTTAATTAAGTTAACCAACTTCAACTCTCCAATAATGGGACGAACTGGTACCAAGTGCCACCTGATACAATAAGAACACCACACCATATACAGAGAATTCCTGACTAAACTGCTCAACCTGAATCCAATCGTGAGACAGTAAGACAAATCCAAATCGAAGGATGTTCTACAAAACACTACCCTGAATTTTTCAAATAGATCAATGTCATGGAGGACAATGGGGACTCTTCTTGATAAAAGGAGACTAAAGGGACATGACAACTAAACGTCCTTATTTTTAGAAGATACTGGCTAAAGTATTTATGGCTGAATTACAATTCCATAGCTTAATCTTAAATGATTCAGCAAAAACCAAATGTGTGTGTGTGTGTGTGTGTGTGTTATGTACATACATTCATTATGTGTGCCTGTGTTTGAGAGAGCAAGAAAAAGCAAAGTGGACGATATATTGATAACTGGTGATCTAAGTGAAGAACATACAGGGATATATTGTTCTATTCTTACAATCTTTCTGTATTCTGAAGTTTTTCAAAATAAAAACTTGGGGGAAATACCAAGGAAGTTTAGACTTGTACAGACAAGGGTTTCCTAGCCTGTGAGAATGATACTGACTGTTTTCACACGCCATATTTTATCTTCAGTAAGAGGTTATTGTTCTTTGCTATGGCAAAATACAGACCACCACTTTATATAATAAAATTCCACCTTTTTCCAGCATTAATACAGGGTATGTAAAGTCCACCAATTGTGACAACACAGGAAATTACTGTCTAAATGAACTGTGTGCTACATGCACATTTCACTAAGGGGTAAGGCAGTTTCTTATAAGGAACCATACGGTAATCACGAATATGCCATTCGCCTCCTGTTACTTGACTCTGAGGAACCGTTTTGTAAAGATTATCTAGTGTCTAATTAAAAAGAAAGAAATTAGACTCGGGTTTACGATGCCTCTGGTACGTTCTGAAATTATTTTGAAAGCTTATTTAAAAGGACTTCAAACTTGAGCTTTTTTCATTCATGTATTTATTCCACAATTAAAATAAATCGTAATGTAAAGCCATAACATTTTTAAAAGGTAAAGGAGAATTTGTGTCACAGCTGTATTAATAAAACAGACATTGGTCTAAAGTGCAACACTAAACAGGTGTTCTCTGTTCCCATGGTGGAATAAATACATAGCAATTACACGTAAAATTTCACTAAAGATCTGAGATGACGCAAATAACCCTTTGAAACAAACTGCCCAATGAACAGAGGCAGACTGCAAATAATCTCTATTAACATTTTACTGCAGGATGGAAAAATCCCCAAGGTGACGACTAACTCAAAATCTCTCATCTCATGTGCCTGGCCTTAGCTTGTTTTCCTTCCTCAGTCACATCCAAATCCAAAAAGGCTTCTCCATCCCAAGCTCAAAACTCCACCAAAAGTCCCCAAGGACCTCAGCACAGACTGCCATAATGAGACTGTGTGTAACCTTCATTCAGAACCTCCAGGGAAATCAGAAGCCCAAATGCAGAGAGCAGCAGCATTTCTTTAAACAATAGTTTTAACTGTCGAATGAGCTCTGCCAGGCCATGTGCATTTCATAACAAACCAAAATATTGTCTTAATTTGTTTTTCTTGAAGAATGTTAAATAGGCCATTCAAGTTAAAAAAAAAAATTTTTTTTACAGAAATAATGAAAAATGGAAATTCAAAGGATTTATGCTAAAAAGCAAACCAGTCCTCTGCAGCCTAACTCATTTGTTTCTGGGCTGTGATGCCATGTAGAGGGCGATCAGGCAGTAGATGGTCCCTCCCACAGTCAGCGCCATGGTTGTCCGGTAAAGCATTTGGTCAGGCAAGCCTCGTTTCAGGTGGATGGGCACACCGTCGGATTTCTTGAAAGAAAGAATTATCAAGGATATGGCTGATAAGAAAAAGATTTTACAATTTAGGCTAATATAGAACAAATGTCTCTACTTTATAACTAATCCATCAACCCACTGCACTGGAAAAAGCCCAAATCTACTAGAATGCTAACTGAAATACTGGTGTATTTCTTACTAATGTAGCTAAAGTTTTAAGTCCAAAGTCATTCTCCAAAATGCAGCCTCAGGAACATGTGCGCAACAAATTCCACATTTCTAAGGAATTTATCATATATTGCTTAATTACAAAAGGAGCACTGGTGAATTTTTTTTAAAGGCAAAGGTAATCAGCAGCGAATCAAAGACCTGTAGGCGTAAGAAATGCTCTACATTTAGCCTGACTTCTGACCAGTAGTGGACTAAGTCTAAGCACACCAGGTCAGTCAACAGGTTCGTGTCCCTTTTGGACTCAACTACCTTCTTTCTATTAAGCTGCTAAGCCCCTATTTAATAATGAGGCTCCATAAAATGTTTAATCCATTATTTTGCACAGTCTCCAAAATCCCTCCCCACGGCAACTCAAGACCCCAAATGCCCACTCAAGTCTGAGTTATCAGATTAAAAGAGATTAAACTGGGCTTCCCTGGTGGCACAGTGGTTGAGAGTCCGCCTGCAGATGCAGGGGACACGGGTTCATGCCCCGGTCCGGGAGGATCCCACATGCTTCGGAGCGGCTAGGCCCGTGAGCCATGGCCGCTGAGCCTGTGCTCTGCAACGGGAGAGGCCACAACAGTGAGAGGCCCGTGTACCGAAAAAAAAAAAAAAAAACAAAAGACATTAAACTGATCAAAAGTCCCCAAGCTGGTCCTAAATCTGGACATATTTTTGAGGAGGGGGAAGCTACCTTCCAGCAACAGCAGTAACAGCTATTGCCACTCCCACGATACCTGAGATACAGTCGAGTCACTGACCTCTCAATTATCTGCAGGTAGATTAACATTAATCATATTTTTAAGTCCAATCCTAGCTTCTCTGCTAATCAGCAAACCCAAGAGAGCCTCCTCCACTTCTAGCAACAGTTCAGTGAATTTTAATATCAAGCAAGCAAAAAACAACTAGAAGAAAACTTATTGCCAAAAGTCACTGCATGTGTCACAAAGCCTAATATATACTGGATTATTCACAGTATTATTATATATTATATATGCTATTGCTTCCTCCATCCAATGGATGATCAACAGCTACATACGCAATTTAAAAATCTGCATAACCTTAAATACTGATGAGGAAATTAATCACCCTCTCCTCTTTTATCAGTTTCTACCTACATGAAGTTCTACCAGTTTATGGCTTAAACTAAAATCAAGAGAATTCTATTTAAGGAAAAACAGGGAAGTGAGTAGCAAACTAGATTAAGACTCCATTTTGTAGGATTTTTTAGCTCTATTTACTTCACAGCCTTCACTGTTCTAGTGTCTTCTCTCACCTGGAAAAACTTCTGCAGCTCTGGAACTTTATTTTTCCCAGCATAATCATATGCAGTAGAATTGGAACTCAGTTTAGTTGGTGTGGCAAATATGATAGGCGGTGCTTCTGTGGAAACCACAGGCCTTAATCCCTGCAGGAAAAAAGGAAAAGGTCAAGTTGAAAGTATGTCTGGGCATGTGAACAAGCCTTTCCAGGAGAAGGCTGTCCAGAAGAGTGGAGTCAGTGATTCCACCACACAAGAGAGAAGGAAAGTCCCCAACTCTGCATTACAAAGCATTTAGGTTTAAAGTCCCTAAAACACCCTAGCGCCCATTTCCAGAGCAAACACAGTCAAGAACTCTCTTGCTGGTTAAGGTGGGGGAGGCAGACGGGGGAGAAGCAAACCACAACAAAGGCCCAATCTAAGCTTCCAGATAAACCCACTGTGTCTATCTTCTCATCAAACCAATAAAACATTTATCATCTATATGAACTTTGGGTTAAATTTCAAAAGAAACCTGGCTGTCCCTTTTCTCCTCTGGGTGAGTAGGTGTACCAACATGGAATCTCAAAGTGGACTTCAGAAACTTTCCAGACACACAGTAAAGAAATATCTCAATCTGGAAGAGCCTGTAATGGGAAGAGAGCTGTCTTTCAGGACCAGAAAACAAAACAAAACAATTACATCAGAGCAACTGAACCTTCTGGCGTTAATAAATCTGTAAGTTAAAAAACATATACTGTAAAAATAAAAAAGGAAAACTCAGTGTTCTCATTGTGACGTATGTACGACGATACACATGTACTACATACACAGAGAGTGTCTACCACTGAAAGGACTGCGTGAAGTAGCATGTGCCTAAAGCAGTGTCTGGGACACAGCAGGCATTCAATAAACGTAAGCTGAAGGAGATTCGGGGGCTCAGCAGCTGCCTCAGCCACATGTGACAGAGAAAGGAAGGACAAACACACAGTCTTAAAAAGAATCTAAGGGGGGAGAAAAATGAAGTGCTGATACATGCTACAATATGGATAAACCTTAAAAACAGTACGCTGGGCTTCCCTGGTGGCACAGTGGATGAGAGTCCGCCTGCCGATGCAGGGGACACGGGTTCGTGCCCCGGTCTGGGAAGATCCCACATGCCGCGGAGCGGCTGGGCCCGTGAGCCATGGCCGCTGAGCCTGCGCGTCCGGAGCCTGTGCTCCGCAACGGGAGAGGCCACAACAGTGAGAGGCCCGCGTACCACAAAAAAAAAAAAAAAACAGTACGCTGAGTAGAAGCAGTCAGTCACAAAAGACCACAAATATATGAAAGTCCAGAATAGGGATATTTACAGAGACAGAAAGTAAATTAGTGGCTGCTAAGGGACAGGGGAGGAGGGGCGGGGGGTGTTAAGGAAGAGGAAGGTGATAGCTGAAAGGTATAGCTTTCTTTCTGAGGTGATAAAAATGCTCTAAAATTAATATGGTAATGGTTGCACATTGTCTGTGAATATGCTAAAAACCATTTAATCGTATATTTAAAATGAGTAAATGTATGGTATGTGAATTACATCTCAACAAAGCTGTTTAAAAAAAAAAAAAAAAAAAGAACCTAAAGGGAACTCTGGGTTTCTATCTGATGGAGTAAACCTACAGTGGCAGATAGATAAATGATTCTCCAAAACAACCTACAGATCACACTAAGGAACTTAGTTACAAATCAATAAAATCACATCCTTTTATATTAAATTCTAACTCAGAAAAATAAAATCTTAAAGTTAGCAAACAAAGCTCAGCCTCTTCTATTTTTACAGACGAAAAAGGAAATCCTTTGCTCAAATTAATAAGAGTTGTCAGATATTACTTGATCTCTTCAAAAAAATCTAACTTTACCTATAATTGACAAGAGACCTATTCTAAAGATCACATATTGAAAACCTCAATGTTACTCCCACCAGGCAGGCACTGGGATCGACAGAGCAAGAAAAAGGCATTAAAGTAATTTTGGCTTCTATTTCTTCTAACACAGTCCCATAAATGGGAAAGAATCACGGCCTTTTTTTCTGTTCTTTCACTCATTCAACATATTTTACTGAGTAATTACTCTATACTGAAAATATATAGGACACATTCAATCTCTGCCATTATGGATATCAGTGTTATGGAATAATAGCAGCTAATGTCTACCAAGCTCTTGTTATGTGCCCAGCATCATGTTAAGCATTTCATACGTATCATTACAGCAATCCTAGGGAGATGTTACCTTTCCCTTTTTACAGAGGAGAAAACTGGATCAGAGAGGGTGGCTTGCCTGAGACTCCATAACAAAAAGAGCCAAGTGTGGGAACTCAAGCCTCTCTCAAGTCCAGAACCCTGGCATTTAAGTACCTACCTGCCCCTGCTACCTCTCGTCAACTACTGCTCAAAAACAACAATCCATTTGAAGAGAAAGTCTGCTTAGTAAGCTGTTAGTCTACATTTGGAATATAACAGAGACTTAGGAGTCAGAGACAGAACCGGGGCTCCAACTACTGAGATAACAAGGCTATAAGAAAGTTCTCTCTTTAAACTGGAGAATTTTAGACACTCCCTCATCATTCTGTGAGCTCTTTGTATTTTCTCCTTATGATCATTTTCCCTTGAATGCAAAAATTTAAAAACCCTTCCTACCAAGCAACTCCAAAACTGGTTTGAAATTAAATTCATGTTTTGACAGGACTAATGTGAGAGCATTTTTAGATGGGATTATACCTAGTTGCTTTGTATTTGTTTACCTGTTAAGTGATTCAAAACTATAGCAAAGTTTTCGAACAAGATCATCTCAAAACAGGAGTTATCAACCATCTTAACAGTTTAAAATAATTCCATATTTCCATTTATAATACTGTAAAAGTTTAGAATATCAAATTTTAAAGTTACCTATAATCCCATTATCTTATCCCATCAGTTATTATGAATTGTATATTCTCCTCCAATCTTTTCATAGGCATATATATATATTTTTTTTTTTTGCGGTACGCGGGCCTCTCACTGTTGTGGCCTCTCCCGTTGCGGAGCACAGGCTCCGGACGCGCAGGCTCAGCGGCCATGGCTCACGGGCCTAGCCGCTTCGCGGCATGTGGGATCCTCCCGGACCGGGGCACGAACCGGCGTCCCCTGCATCGGCAGGCGGACTCTCAACCACTGCGCCACCAGGGAAGCCCCATAGGCATATTTTAATCTTTACAGTCACAGTGCAAAACCCCACATTCTACTTTTTTCACTTATAATAAACATTTTTTTCAGGTTCCTAAACAATCTTCATAATGAAATCTACTCTTCACATCAACCCCATAAATTATTACCAGCCCATGTTACAGATGATTAAAACAAAGCTCAGAAATGTCCTAAGTGTGCTCGCTTCAGCAGCACATATACTGAAACTGGAACGATACAGAGAAGATTAGCATGGCCCCTGAGCAAGGATGACACGCAAATTCGTAAAGCGTTCCATATTTTTAAACAACTACCGTATGCTAACACATATATATGGAATCTAAAAAAAAAAAAAGGTTCTGATGAACCTAGGGGCAGGACAGGAATAAAGATGCAGACACAGAGAATGGACTTGAGGACACGGGGAGGGGGAAGGATAAGCTGGGACGAAGTAAGAGAGTAGCACTGATATATGTACACTACCAAATGTAAAACAGATAGCTAGTGGGAAGCAGCTGCATCACACGGGGAGATCAGCTCAGTGCTGTGTGACCACCTAGAGGGGTGGAATAGGGAGGGTGGGAGACGCAAGAGGGAGGGGATATGGGGATATATGTATACATATAGCTGATTCACTTTGTTATAAAGCAGAAACTAACCCATCATTGTAAAGCAACTATACTTACTACAGTAAAGATGTTTAAAAAAATAGTAAAGCAGGGGCTTCCCTGGTGGCGCAGTGGTTGAGAGTCCGCCTGCCGATGCAGGGGACGCAGGTTTGTGCCCTGGTCCAGAAGGATACCACATGCCGCGGAGCGGCTGGGCCCGTGAGCCATGGCCGCTGAGCCTGCACATCCGGAGCCCGTGCTCCGCAACGGGAGAGGCCACAACAGTGAGAGGCCACAACAGTGAGAGGCCCACGTACCGCAAAAAAAAAAAAAAGTCACAAGTAAGATGGGATTCAAACTCACACATGTTTATTACACCACACCATCAGTAATCAGCTGTCTCGGCCCCACAGGTAAAAAGAATCCAAATGGTGCTAAGGTACTTCACCCTAGGCATAATTAAACCTCCCAACAATATAAGAGCAGTCAAGGTTTCCAGTGTTTCAAGGCAGCTAGATAAGACTAGCACTAGGGTTCTCAAGAGTAGACCAGGAAGCTATATTTACAGGAAGGGATCTACAGCAAATCCCTTCGCCTAGGCCTCCTTCCAGGGCCACGGATGCCCCAACCTAGAGGAATTATGAGCCTCAAATATGCCCCTCCTCATCTCAATAAATGATAACGCCATCTTTCCAGGTACTTGGGCCAAAAACCTTGAAATTGTTCTTAATACCTCTCACTCACACATTTGAAAATCCTTTTGGCTCTACCTTCAAATTATATTTAGAATCTGACCACTTCTCACCTATCTTCACCAATCCACATTCTGGTCCAAACTCCTAGATTTTTAAAACAGCCTCCTAACTGGTCATCCTGATTTTATTCCATCCTTGCTGCCCTACAGTCTACTCTTAATGCAGCAACCAGTAATTGTGTTAAAACAGAGGATGGGGCTTCCCTGGTGGCACAGTGGTTGGGAGTCCGCCTGCCGATGCAGGGGACACGGTTTCGTGCCCTGGTCCGGGAGGATCCCACGTGCCGTGGAGCTTCTGGGCCCGTGAGCCGTGGCCACTGAGCCTGCGCGTCCGGAGCCCGGAACAGTGAGAGGACCGCGTACCGCAAAAAAAAAAAAAAAGTGGACTGTAGACCAAGTGGAAATCACAGGTTTCGCTGAGTATCAAATCTCTTAGCTGTTTACACAATCACTACCTCTACAACTGATTAAGAGCCATTCAACTGTTTTACCACGTTTAGTAGCTGAGTTCTTCCTAGTCTACTTTAGCTGCTCCAAATTTTAAGAGAGAAAAGTAAACATGATTTTTCTTCACCTCAAAATTGACTGGCCCAAAGTTTCCCCTTTCCTTCTACCTTTTAACTTTGGGGAGGAGGAGGAAGAAGGGTGGAGAAATAAGAGAATTATCCCAAAAATGTTTTAATTTTTAAATGATAGAAACTTACGAGCTCTTTCATTCTGATTCAGGACTACAAACAAGTTTCAATCTGCAGTGATCAAGTCCTTTCATTTCCAATTGCCAGCTAGGTACCACCACCTCCATGTTTCCCTGACATCTCACACTCAGTGAATCCAAAATTCACCCAGTTTCTCACAAGCCTACTCAGGAGCTCCCTGTTTCTGGGGAAAACACCACCATCCTCCCGTTACCCAGTCATCTTGGAGTCCTCCTTCCTCATTTCCAAAATCTCCTTCACCGGGCGCTAAGTACTCATCTCCAGCCTCTGACTCTTTCTCCATTCTTACTGAGAAGACCCTGAACTCTTTTATGGGTATAACAAGGCATCCCTGGCACTGGTCTCTCCCAGTCAGATTATCTTTTCAAAGCATTGCTCTGGTTATGATACGTACTCCTCCATCATAAACCTTTCATGAAACTAAAGGGAAGAGGCAGGCCATGCCCTTGTTTCAACCTCTGGACAAGACTCTACCACAACTTTCAGCATCAAGTTGCTTTGTAAATTCCTATTCATTTCTCACAAAATTAAGTCCTACCATCCTAGGCCCTTCATGATCTACCTCCATCCACCACAGCTAAACTTACCTACTCAATGATTCCCCCTGCAGCCCCCCTCTCCTCCTTCACTCTCGCAGTTCCCTTAATCTAGAATATCCTGCCATCTTAACTAGGAGAGGAACTGCTGGATCATACGGTAAAATTATGTTTCACTTTTTTAGAAAATGCCAAACTGTTTTCCAAAGAGGCTGTACCATTTTAAATTCCCCCCACAATGTAGTACGGTTCCAGTTTCTCCACATTCTCACCAACACCTGTTGTCTTTTTTGTTTTAGCAGGTGTGAAGTGGTATCTCCTTGTGGTTTTGATTAGTATTACCCTAATGACTTATGATGTCAAACATCTTTTCATATGCTTATTGGCCTCAATTTATTTTTGACAAAGGACACAGAAAGGTAAGCAAAATGCTCTTCACTCAACCACTGGAAAATACCCTCCCGACAATTACTTGCCATCATATTGATTTATAAATCTCTACCTGTACTATTGTTAGAGAACTAGCTTTTCCATATAAGGTTACTCAATGCATGTTAGATTATTCACTTTACATAATACTGAAAGTTACAAACACCTATATTTTACAGTATGCTAACATTTTAAAAGTTTCCAAGAAAGGAAAAATTGAAGTACTCCTGATTACCAAAGTCAGAACCCTTGGTTTGGGGATACCTGTCACAATCACTCTGAAATCTGCAATTCATATAAAGCCTACAATATTCATATAAAGCCTACATAATATCACTTCTTTCAACATAACTTAAGAAATCCTTAAGTAATTAAGAAGTCCAAATTCTCAAGAGAAACACAATTCAAGTGGAGCTAGAAATCTTTAATCCCTCTCTGTACCAAATGCATCTTGGGGTAATATCCGCTCTAAGTGCCAATTAATTTCAAGATGTGTCAGTTTTAGTTTAAAATTTCACATTTTCTTACTAGATAACAAAATCTAGACTATGCTAAAACTCTATTGAAAGAAATTCTACAACCACCAATGGAATAGATCAATTGTGATATATTCATACAATGAAATCCTATACTGCAATAAAAGAAACCAACTACTAACACACATAACATGAATGAACCTCAAAAATATTGAGAAATAGAAGGCTTATACAAAACAGTACTGTGTGGTTCCATTTATACGAAATTCAAAAACAGGCAAAACTATCTATTTATAGTGATAAAAATATGAATAGGAAGATGAACACGGATTGACAGGGCAATAGTAAAAAGGAACTTCCTAGGAGTGATGTAATATTGTATATGTTAATAAGGGTGTGGGTTACACAGTGTGTTTGTCAAAAATGTGCTGAAAAATACACACCTTTATGTTTTAAGAGTACCTGCTTCTTTATAGAAGCAAATATAATAGAAATAGCTATTTCTTATAATCTGTAAGATAAGTCACTGTTGTGAATTCCTTCTTTAGACCTCACTACCAATTTGGTTTCAACGACACCACGCTGCTTTCCCTTCTAATCCTGGATTGTTCTTATGATAAATTTTCCTCCTCCACTCTCCCTTCCTGTTTCTGTAATCTAATCGTAACTCCATCTTTCTTCCCCATGTGCTTGCTCCCTGGATGATCTCCCCCACCACAGCTTCTACTACCACCTACGGGCTGAAGACACCTAGATCTATTAAACTCCTTATTCATAAATCCAGCTGCAATCAGACATGCAATCAGACATGACATCTCATCACGAGCTCAATATTTATAAACCTGGACCCTTCCTCCCCAACCCCATACCCCCAAAAAACGTGCTCTTTTTCTTGCCCTCCCTATCCTAGTTAACAGCACATCTAATCTTAGATTGAAATCATCCTTAAACATCCTTCCCCTTGAGCAAGTTGCGGTGTTTCACAGAAGAAAGAAAAGGTAACAACAATGGAGCATTCTTTACACCCCACCTGGGGCCCTTATTGTTCCAGTCCAGTTTTCCAACTGCATATCTCATCAACCCTTCCCTACCTACCCTGAGGACTGAGAATGAAAATGATGGTATCTCAGACTTAGCTTCTCGAGAATAGCTACCACTTATCCAGTAATAGCCACCTGCCAACGATTGCTAGTCACATGACACACATCTCTTTTAATCTGTACTCCAGCTGCCCTAAAGGAAACTGAGCTCACAATGAATTAACTTGATCAAGGTCATAAAATTAAAGCAGCGAAACCAGGATTTGAGCCCAAATTAAGAGTCTGGGACTCTAAAGTTTTTCATCTCTACACTACAAGCTGAAGACTGATAATCCAATTGGCAAAATCTGAGTGAAGTCGCAATACTTTTCAGACCACTCAAGAGCAACCATCAACCATTTTACAGCTGGAAAAATGTCAGCTCTTTGCACGTTAACTGCGAAGACTCACCCAAACATTTGAATTAACTCTTTAAGTCTTCTAATTCTGATCACACAGCCCCCTTCTGCCCCTATGGCTTCCGCTGGTACCATCACCCCAGCTCCCAAATCTGGTGCTTGGATGAGGCTGTCTTTTGGGCTGAGGCAGGAGGATGACAATGGGGCATTGAGGAGACTGAAAGCTGGACTTCCTTAAAGAAAGGACAGGGCCAAACTTCGGACTCGGTCGGGTCACATTCTGGGCCCCGCCGACCTCACGAGCCACCAGCAACGACCTCGGGGGTCACCTTGACCGCTGCTGAGTGCCAGGCCCAACTTCCACACCAGGCCAGCCTCGCCGGGGAGCAGCTACAGAATCAGGAGCCTCCATGGCCACGGCAAGTGCGTGACAAGAGGTGAGGGACCAACTAAACCGAAGCGCGGGCAGAAGCCTCGCCTGGCTCCGGCGCTGAGACTGCCAGGCGCAGACTCGGGCCGCCACTTCTCCTGTCCGAACCGGCGCGGCGCTACCCGTACCTGAGGGTTATAAGCGTCGGAAGCCCACGCTCCCGTCAGTTTCTGCGTGAAGCTACTAAACTTATAATACATGTTGCCCGGTGTCGACTTCAGGGAGCCACTGCCCGCGCGACCGCCCCAGAGAAGGACCCCGCTTTCCCGGGTGTCTGCCGAAGACTCAGCCCAAGGACCCTGCGCCAAAAGGCGGGCTGCCCGGGGATCGCCTAATTTAAAACATGCCCTCTTAAGCCACATAATGGAATGAGAAGCCAGGTTCTCAGGGCCAAAAAGGCAAAACAAGTTCTAGAGCAGCGCGGAAAGCCTCTGTAGCGCGGTGTGTAGGGAATACGAGCCTGCCTCTTTCCGTCACGTTTAGATTCGGGCAGTACCAAGACGCCCTAAGAATTGCGCAAGCGCCCTGCCGATCATGCGGGAGGCTGAGGGACTTGCCGGGGTTGAGGGGGGCGGGCTCGGGGCGGGGCCTAGGGCGGGAGGGGTGGGGCTGGGCGGGGTGAGTCCGCTCTTTCCCTCCCAGAGAGCCGGTGCTGTGGGGCCGCCACCTGGTAGTTGTCTTAAAGGCGTCTCTCCCTTTCCCAAACTTAACTCCTCCCAAACCTAGGTCACCTCGTGAAGCGTCCTACTCTCGCTCAGTGGGCTCAGGAGTATGGATCCGTCGACCAGGCTTCGCTGGCAATCTAGGAGTCGGGGGAGCAAATAAGAAAAATTGGAAACACCTGCTGCAAGCTGTTTGTTACTGAGGGCTGTTAGGATTTTCGCCCCAATAATATATAAAGATAGCCTCTGGGCTTTTCGTAGAGGAAATACATCGTGCCCTTTGAACTTCAGGCACAAGGACATATATTTTGCACAGTTCTCAGAACTGATTTTTACTCTTACTTGAGCTTTGTGGGAACTGATTGCCCATCCTTTTCCTGGTCTCTGCCCTTCGAGATAGATGAGGTGGGGAGTGGAGGGGAGGTGGACTAGAAATACTTGAAAAATCTGGACGTTGAGCCTGAAAGATCAGGACTACCACTTTCAGTTATGGTACTATCCACTTCAGTTCAATTTAAAAATGTTTTTTGAATCTCCACTATGTGCCAGGTACTGTGTAAAAGGAGTATACTAATTTCCTACCTCCTGGAATGGAGCAAAGCTTTTCTTGGCTTTATCATCTAACCAGAGGTTTTCATAAGCATATTACAGGTGCATTTATAGTTCTTTTTTTTTAATTTTTTTTTTTTAGAAAGAAAGCACTGGCTTTTTTTTAAGATTTACTTATTATTTATTCATTTATTTTAGGCTGTGTCGGGTCTTAGTTGCGGCACACAGGATCTTTTCTCGTTGCAGTGCTCAGGCTCTTCATCTTGGTGCGTGGGCTTCTCTCTAGTTGTGGCGTGTGGGTTTTCTCTTCTCTAGTTGTGGCATGCGGGCTTTAGTTGCCCGTCGGCATGTGGGACCTTAGTTCCCTGATCAGGGATTGAACCTGCGTCCCCTGCACTGTAAGGCGGATTCTTTACCACTGGACCACCAGGGAAGACCCTATAGTGCACTTATGAAAGCATGTGGCAAACAGATGGGTGATACTAACCTGTACATAGCATTTTACATAAACTCATTTAATCTTTACAACAATCCTATGAGATAGGTGCTGTTATCATCTCCATCTTACTGTACAGGAAAATGAGGCCCAGAAAAGTTAAGTAGCTTGCCCAGGTCAGTTATTAGTGAGTGGCAGAGCCAGTCACCTGGCTCAAGAGTCTATACTCTGAAGCACTACATAATGGATAAGTAGATATAACTCCACTCTAAGAAGAGGATGGAGGCTGAGTACTCCAGAGTTAGGGTGTACACCAGCATCCTAGCTTTGACAGGTGTAAGCCCGAGAGCGCCAAGTGTTCAGCACTGCCAAGACTCAAGAGCAAAGGTTTTAGCATATTCATGTGATTGACCAATTCAAAGTCACTACTTTTACAAAGCAGCATGGAGATATAATGGAAAGAACCTGTGATTTGGGTTTGAGTCGCAATTTCTTCAAGGCTGAGTGATTTGCAGCTAGTTACTTACATTTTCTGGGCCTCGCTTTCTTTCTGTAAAGTAGGAATCGTCATCACCAGACCATCTTCCCTCGCTAGTGTTCTGAGAATCAACAGTTCAGTAGGTTATGAAGCTTACACAAGTGTTACATTGCTGATCTTACTTTTGAGTCATTTTACTTTTCCATGGTTCTTGGCTACATATAAGAACCTCAGTTAATTTGTCTTTGTTACTCTCATTTAATTAATTAAGTGCTGGAGTCACTCATACCACGAAAGGAGAATGAGCTTGTTAGCAGATATTGGGTGGAAAGAAAGGTCTTTCACAGAGTTTAGATGGAAAAGAGAAATCAAATGATTTAGGACAGCTCCCTGTCTCCACCCCACTGTCTTCTAGACATATTTTGGAAGAAAAAAGTAGAGAACAATCCCTAGCTTTTAGCAGCACTAAGGTGTACCAGCTTCTTGAAGTATAAAGGTGCCTGTCAACACTGGTTATTTTCTTAAAGTTCCTGCCAACTGATTTTAGATTCTGCAAGACATAAATTAAGAATCCTGAAAATGTTACAACAGCCGGGCTGTTCAGTGGGAGATAAAATGTCAGTAGCAGAGTGTGGGTTGGGATGTCACATGGAGTGGCTGATCATAGGAAGATTTTGTCTCATTTCCCAAATAAAACACAGCACACTCTGACAGCACTGAAGCACCCTATTCTCATTCTTATTTGCATAATCCCACCCAACATCAAAGCATGATCTTTCTTTAGATCATGATCCCTTCAGGTTGTTTCCTAGGTCCTGTTCTGAGGGGAAGTGACCACAATTCCTAGTGCAGAGAAGCTTGTTAATCGCCAAGTGATTTGAGTGAGTGCAAATGCCAGTCTGGCTCCAAGTGAGTCAGAATGCTGCTGCCTCTCCATTTGTGAGGGCTGTGCACTAATGGCTTCTGGCAGGTCACTCTGTGAAAGCACTGGGGTATGGATGGAAGACCAACATAAATTTTAAATGGCCGTACTGGATGTAGATAGGAATGACTCCTTGTGAAATAGTTCTTAATTTTTTAATTCTCCAATTTTCTCAGAATTGACTTCTACAAATTTGACGCTAGTGAGTCTGGCAGAGTTAAAGTGTGTAAGCCCTGTAGTTGTTGAGGTCATTGTGGGCCCTTCTTACTGATTCCTTCAATCCCTCCTTGTCTTCAGCCATCTATCACCTGGCTTTGGTGTCACCAGTTGGTGACAAATGTTCCAGGCTGATTTACCATGGGGAGGGCCTATCCTGGATATGGATGTCCAGAAGATGCTGCTTTCCCCCACTTTACTGTTTCTTTGCTGCCACATCTGCAAACTGTAGAAACTTTCGAACCTGGAGAAGCACGTTTGTGCACGCAGATTTTGCCCATTCTAAGGTAGCTTCCCTGGTGGAAAACAGACTATAATAGTGTCATGTTATAGTGTAGCGTTACCTTTTTTATTGTGGCTTGTGTCTGTCCTCTCTTTGGCAAAAAAAGAAGGTAGAGGGAAAACACTTTCCTAGCATTGAAAACTGCTAGTGATATCCCAAGGAAAACATCCCCAGTAAAATACTGGAAAACAAAATGGAAAGCTACATGCACTTTATGATTCTCAGAACAATGACACCATTTGTGCAATTATTCGGTAATTTTCATGTGGCAGAGTTAGAAATCTTAGCTGTCATCTCTTAGTCTTTTTGTCAAGTAAAGCCCTATCTGGTGTGGAAATTTTAAGTTTGTCTTTGAAACCTGAAATCTAGATTATATCGATATGACTGAAAAACAATTAAACCTTTGTTAAAGCATGGTATTTTCATAGCAAAGGAGTTGAGGGTCTGGATGGTGCCTTTCTCACCCAAAGGAGGGGAACGGCAGCTGAGATTACAGTTGCCGGGACAGCTTTATTGCAGTTTGGGATGAACATATTGACATCAACTCCCTGCTCTGACCTTCTCATTGTTGGATATCAATATGGTGTGTGAGCTGCCTCACTTTTGCCTGCCTGATTTTCGTTATGTGCAAGTCAAAAGCACATCCACCAAGATTATGGATTTAACTCAATTTTGACACATCACATTTCATTTCACTGGTTAAGAAAGGCTGAGGTATGACTCATAATTTATTTTAAATCATCTTAAATACACTTAATTATGCATAGAAAAAAGTTGAGATCCAGGACAAGATTCATGCAATTTTACATGAACATCATCTATAAAAATATAGTAGATGTAATGTTGTCCCATACATAGAATGAAAGGATTAGCAGTGGCCTTGTCCAGTTTGGGGTGGGAGGGTTGTTCCTAATGACTGGAGATTCTCACTCTGTGCATCACAAGTGTCTTCAGTGTTGCAGTATTTTACAGTGGGCATGTATGACTCTTGTAAGTCCATATACACACTGATAAATAATACAAAGTCCCCAAAAGGCATAAAAATTAGAATTTTTAAATGTTTCCACGTACTTCTACCCTAAACTACCAATTCATTTAGAATATTCTTTAATCATCCCTTGTGTAGATGTGAGGAGCCTATTGAGTGACAGTCTCCAAGTATTAAGCCACAGGAAGGGTCACTCGAGGGCCATTCTGACCATTACAGTTAATACTCTGGTGGTTCTTCTCCACAAAGCTTTTGGAGAAAAGAATGAATGAGTGAATAAACAAATGAGAGTTAACACTGTAGTGGTTCTTCATAGGGCTGCTGGAGAAAAGAAGGGAAGGGAGGAAGGAAAGAAGGAGGGGAAGAAGGAAGGAAGGAAGGACATCATCTCCACACATTGCCATGAAAAACGAGCAACCATACCAGGCTGTTATTAACATGAGCGCCCTGATTACATGAAAATTGGTGATCAAGTAGAAAAGGAGATTAAGAACCATACACCCTGGTCTCAAGAAGGTGAATGTTCATGGATTATTTTCTTTTGAAATAGTAGAACTTTTTGTCTTCAGGAAAATGTGACTCTATCCAATATCGAAACAAACATGGGGTGTAGAGTTTTGATGATGGCCATTCTGACCGGTGTGAGGTGATACTTCATTGTAGTTTTGATTTGTGTTTCTCTAATGATTAGTGATGTTAAGCATCTTTTCATGCATTTGTTGGCCATCTGTATGTCTTCTTTGGAGAAAT